CGCACGCGCCCGAGCAGGCCGAGCAGCGCCCGTGCGCCCGCGCCGACCCGAACCGCGACCAAAAGCCCCCAAAAGCACTGTTGCCGACCAATTATTGTCCCCACTGTTGACGCCGTCGCCGGCATCCTGAGGTGGCGAACTTGTTCGAGGGAAGGGGAAAGGGCCCTTTCCGCTTCCGCCGTGCTTGAGCAGGAAACCCCCGATGTGTGCTCGCCGACCGGTGAGCGGCGCTGGTGGCGTTTTTCCCGCGGCGAGTTTGAAGTTGGAGTGTCGATCTAAGTGGAGACATCTGGATTAACCCTTGGCACGACTTAACTATCCCCAAAGTAAGTTTATGTTATTTACTGCTCACTACTGGTGTATACTGTTCGTGTAAAGTTCAAGCCATGTGTGGCCCATCGAGCGGGCCGGTCTGAAAAGTAACTCGGTTGTAATAAATGAAGTCCTCAGCCTCAGACTTTTTTTGATGTATTCGAACGAAGAGCTGATAACATATGGCCCGTTCAGGCTGCCTCACGCGTTTGTGTCGTGTTTGCAGCTAGGCAAAAGCAAATGACGACTTTTTCCCTCCTTTCTTTCTTTCTCTCTTTTTCTTCCTCTCTGGGATCCCCCCGCCGTGGTCTTATCGACGGCCTGGGCCTGCAGCTCCAGGGGGCCTCACCTGCCTGCCCCACCACAGACCCTCTAACTACCCGGCTGTGTGGTCATGTAGTTAGCGTTCTATGCTATATATGTAGTGCGCACGTTTGAGTGTGTGTGGGTGTGTGTGTTTGGGGCGGGCGTCGTGTGTGTCGTACACATTATTTACACTTCACGTTTTCGGACTACGTGCGCTTAAAGGTGCGGGGACAACAGAAATAAGGCAATCTCGTGAGGTTATCGTCGCGGAAGAAATCGCGCTTCCCCCACGCTCAGCATCGCGGCCTCCCTTACAGGCTGCGACAGATAGCGGGAGCGATCAACCGACCGATATCGACCTCCCGAATCTGGTGGTGGCGCGTAGCGGCGTAGCGCCATGACAGCTTGACGGAGAGCGCACTCTCTGTTGTGCCTCTTGCTCTCCTCTGCCCCTTACCCCTTCTCTACCTCTCCCCCCTCTTCCCCCCTTCTCCTCTCTCGCTCGCATGCACACGGTCATCGCGCTCCCTCCCTCCCTCCCTCCCCCTCCTCTTCTCCTCGCCTATTCCTTCGGAGCCATCTTTTCAATGGGAAGCTGGCTGCCCCCATTGAAGGTCGAGTTCAAGTGCCATCGGCGAGGACTATATGCTTTCGAAGCGCCTCCGTGGTGTCGTGCCTAGCGTGCCAGCCACACTGATCAAATAAATACAATGAGACTGGGATAGAGGTGGAGGAAGAGCAGGTGCAGGCAGATACTATGTGATGCCATCCTTTCCTTTTGGCTATCTGACGGCACTCCTGGTCGGATTTGGAATCTGAGTCAAAATTTTGATATTTGGCATACTCGTGCGTTTCTTTAAATTTTGGATTTAATAATGAGTTTAGTACCTTTTTACTTTTTAGTGAGTGTGTTTGCCCCCACGAGGACAAATAAAGATAAAATTCCGAAATTATTAGGTGTGTTGTGAGATTGTCCAGAAAGTACGTCACTGTTTTTATGACATACATCCGGCAAATTTGAAGCTTGACGCCTGTGGGACTAAGGGTAGGCCATCCCGCAGTACACGCATACACTGAAGGTAAGATGTTGCCTACCTACTGGGCGCCTCAAGAGCTGAAAGCTGGTGGAAGCTGAACTTGGCAGGCTCGTGACTGCGAATGACTAACATACTTTCTGAATGATATGCTCTAGTGTAACATGTATAGACAGAAAACCGCAGAAAACTGCATTTAAGATGAACTCAGTTGCTTTTAGAAAAGGCTGAGTTTCCTAACAAGAAAAGTCCCTTGGCTGCAATGCGCCGAAATGTGAGCTCCGGAACTCTTTGAGGTATACAGCTTGATGATCTTACAGAACAGTCGGTCACTATAGGAACTATTTCACTGTCGTTGGTGGAAGTATGTTGTCAAAAAGAGAATGATAAGGAGAGGCCTTTGCTTCCAGTCTTGGGTTCTGTCTAAAATAAAAGAGAAACTACCCTTCGTTAACGGCGGCAGCCCTCTGTCACTGCCGGAACACCGAAATTACTCATAAGTACAAACAAAATTAATGAAAAACAACACAAAAGCGGGGGTACAGGGAATAACAGCTGCCACGGCTCCCGTCTGAGGACAGCTTGCTTACTTAAATTCGCTGCAGCAAGGCTCTTCTTGATCTCTGATTTACCTGTACCTACAGAGCTTCCTTCAAAGCAAGTGGCATCTACTTCCCGCCCGTAGTGCGCTCTCGCAGTAGACTCGATCTCCACCCCAAACTCACCGCCTTCAGCACTCCTCAAGGAAACAAAGACCGCCTGCATAATGCAGGCTGGCGCTCTAAGCCTGACGCACTGTCGAGTCGTGAGCGGGGCGGGGCGTGGCGGGTCGGGACAAGGCGACGCACTTTACTGCTCTCTAGCTCACTCCAGCCAGGGCGGCAGCCAGCCGCCACGCCCGCGGCCCCGATGTTGACTTATTATGCGAAACAACCGCGGCGGCCGATAAACGACTACAAAGTTGTGCTCAGCCGGCGCGCGCACGGAGCGGCGGGGCGCGCTCTAAGGTCGCCTCGGTGCGGGCGGTGCGCGGGGGTGGGGGCGCCTCGAGACGGGATGGGGCAAGTTTATCACAAATCTCTACCCCCGTCTCGTCCAATAAGGGAAATGGGTTTGTAGGGTGGGTGGTGGCACGGGGCAGGGCGCGGCCGACAGCGGATGCAGGTGGCGTTACGACTTTTCCTTCCTCCAAACAAACACACCGCGCACCCGGGCCGCCGAAGACGTCTTCATCAATTGAGTTTACCGGAGCGTGCGGGCGGGGCGGGGCGGGCGGGGTGGGTTTGCCTAAGCGAGCTCGCCCGCACCAGAAAGTGGTGGCTCGACTGCCCGCCACGCCACGCCTCGTCGCAACAAGTGATTTACTACACTTGAAAATTCCCTGGCGGGCACGCGGCCCCGCCCGCCCCGCTATTGCTATGGCGCCAGGCGGCACCCCCTCCCCCCTCCCCCTTCGCGCCGCTCCCCGCCGCACCCACGCACAGCACCCCCAGCCCGGGGATGAAGTGGAGTGGAGCGAGGCGCACGGAGCGTCCCGGCCCGGACCCACGCGGCCGAGGCTTTGAATTCAGCGCGTCGCATTTAATCGTCTGTCTCCTAATGAAATGTTTATAATTTGGCGCCTCAGCTGCGTTGTCGTTTTGTCTTCTGGTTCGTGTCGCGACCCGCATGGGCAGAGGGCACGTTAAAGGATTTTGGATGCATAAAAAGAAGAAGTCTCGCCGTCAAATACGTTGCTCTCAGCAAAGCGGATCAAACAAAAACCCTCTCTCCATCTAGAATTATGTCCCATCTCGTCGTCGCGTACCGTAAAATGCAGTGTAGTATTACTTTGGGAAAAAATCTTTGTAAACTTACAAACGGCAACGTAAATTTATGGTCTTATAGAAATATATATTTATTTATTTTACCACTTGTCGTACATTGTTCTTGCGACTGTACAACGTTTTCAATTTGCGGAAGTTTGCATTCGGTGCGCGAACAGGTGAAGCGCAGCAGGTGCCAGCACCAGCCCGCTGGATGAAGGGTTTTGTGTTCCTGTAAAGGGATTCCGGGTAACCTCAACACGACATTGGTGCGAATGCCCCAGCGAGCGCAGACAAGCACACTACCAGGAAGGACAGAACAGCTCGGTC